TAACCCCGGTCGGGGCTCTAAGGGTATGTTGAACAGCGCACTGATACACAGATACCCTTGTAATGGTCTTTATAGGATGCTGAGTCTCATATGAGGTTTATTTAGGTTGTGTACAAACTGTTTATTCATGGGGCCATATTGTGTAGACCTAGCCCAATATTGTAGATGCATGGAGTCATGCTGCCCCAGGTGAAGCTACTGGAGGCCTGTTCCTCAGAAATCAGAAATCCCCCTGGATTTTTCAGGGAACATAAGGTGAGTATGCACAGCACCCTCTACTGGTGCTGCATGCTCTCTTTTTCACAGCTGCCAGCTCCGGTTGCTGAGGCAAAGACGGAATGAAGCCACCGCCTTCCTCTTTCTCCACTCAGACAGAACTCCCTGGACTCCCCAGAGCGCAGGATTGCATATGGGGAGGATAGCACAGTTGGGAGGAAAAGTTCCTTGTCCACTCTGCCCCAGGCACAGTATAGACCATAGTGACCCAGTACAGTTGACGTTCTAAGGCCCAGGGTTTCAGCCACAATATGACATGTAGAATATGCTGCTTTTTCCACCTGACTCTTCATTCCCTGACCATAGTAATGTTTCTTCTTGCGATGGGACTCTGAGGAGGGAGAATTTACATGTCTTTGGAATACAGTCTTCTTTTTCAACTGCAGAGACAGGAAGCATTAGATGCTAATGGAATCTTACAGCTCTTGTTTCAGCTTCTCATCCTTTCTGACACAGAGTCATTCAAGTTTCATGGCATTTGTCTCCCTTCAGTCTGCACTCAAACTTCAGAGAAACTTCACCTTCTGTCTCTGTTTCCAGACCATACTCATTTTTAATTCCACCTCCTCACAAAAACGAAATATTGGTCCAGAGACTTAGGGAGGAGTATGTAACAGCCTTGTGTATCCTTATGCATATTACAAACATGGCATCTTGCCAATGCAATTAACTGATGGGTGGGGAAGACAATCCTGGAAAAAAATCTTGACTCTTTCTAGCCTGTACGCCTTTTAACATGTAAACATACACTTTATTCTCCACAGATTTGGTCCCTATGGGCTTCTATCATACCTGCTTACATTATTGACAGAAATCAGGTTCTTGCTTTCTGCTCCTAATACCACTGCTAAGGCATCAGAGCTAGGAACTGAATGAGATAGATGCTATTTATCTTTATGCATCATCAACAGAATTATCAAGTATGTGAAGGTGGCAGCCAGACAGCCCCCACCCCTCATCTTTTTACTTGTAAACCAAGCACACTTAATCTAGAAATATTTGGGAGAGAATCAGCATGGAATACTACAATTCTTTCTGTACACAGTCACTTTTCATAAGAGAACCTGGCTGAAAGTTTCCTGTAGTAACAATAAATAGCTTTGGAATGGTGTGGCCAGTAAGGAGAGTGGTCCTTACAGCCAATGCCTCAGTTTATAGGCTACTAAAATCTGAGCTCTCTCTTGGGGTATGGCCAGACTACCCGCCGGATCGGCGGGTAGCGATCGATCTATTGGGGATCGATATATTGCGTCTCATCTAGACGCAATGTATCAATCTCTGAACGCGCTCCCGTCGACTCCGGAATTCCACCAGGGCGAGCGGCAGTAGCAGAGTCGATGGGGGAGCCACGGCCGTCGATCCCATGCCGTGAGGATGGGAGGTAAGTCAAAATAAGATACGTCGACTTCAGCTACGCTATTCCCGTAGCTGAAGCTGCATATCTTACATCGACCTCCTGTCCCCAGTATAGACCGGTTTTGACAAAATCAGAACTCAACCTGGTAGAAACATGGCCAGTGATGCTGGAGGTACCATCCCCTGTAGTGATGAATAAGTCCTATTGCATTTATCAGAAAGATAGTCTAATGGTTAGAACGCTATCCTGGGACTTGAGAAACCTAGGTTCAATTGCATGCTACGCCCCAGAGTCTGTGTAGCCTTGGGTAAGTCTCACTTTGGGTAGGTCTACACTGCAATGTAAGCCCAGGGTTAGTAGAACCCTGGCCTGTTAATCTAGGGCTTGAGTGTCTACATGTGTTTATATCCTCAGGCTAAGAATTGTTAAACACTGAGTCCCAACCTGAGGCTCCAGTGTCTATACTACTTTATGCAGACCCAAGTCCAACCACCCACATCCAAGACTTCCTAATGCCCTCCCAAAATGTTGCTGCGTTAGCACTTTGTTCATGGTACAGCATGGGAAAACTTGACTATCCAGATAACAAAGAAATTCAGCCTGTAGGATTATGGGATATATTGGCAAACTCCCAGAGGAAGAGTCCAAGTGGGGCTACATCTACATTGCAAAGCAATAGGGCTTGAACCCTGGATCCTGGCTTGACTCCGGCTCAGACCCATATATCATGTTTATGAACAATAAATGTACAGTGGTAGCCAAGCAATTTTGGCTTCTGTTCATGTCACAAGCTATTCTTGCTGAAATGGTGCCTATTTTTAGCTGTAATGAGAAATAAATTGGAGTTTTATTAATTTCACAGCAGTGTGGCTTTGCCACATATGAGCTGTTTCTAAAAATGTCATGCTGTAAACGACATCCTATTAAAATATCTAATTTATTTTAAAAGGAAGCACAGCCGCATTTTTATAAAATCTTAGTGGCCCAAATGTTGATTCTTAACTCCATAGGATTGTACGCAACCATCCTATTTGGGGGTGGGGATTCATCCTGGTATTTACACCCTCCAATGGCCTTCAGTCAATCTCAGCCAGTATCATTATTGGTATGCCAATGAGAGCTCACCACCATGCTGCTTTGCTGAGTTCCCCTGACATACAGTAGTTGTCATAGATGGTAATTGGAAAAGAAGTAGGCAGTATAATCTTTATGCTGCTATGGAAAACCTAACATGGCATTTCATGACTTCCAGTTAAAATTTTAGCTCCAGAGCCAGTAAGGTGTATGGATCTTTCAAAGGCTGGTGGTGTTTGAAATAAATTATTACTAAAGTCAGTTGTTTAGCATAGTTTATTATGTCATTAAATCAATGCTTGTTATGTTGTATTTATATACCAGGTATTTACTTAAGACAATTTTTTTATCTTTCCTCGAGATATTTAGAGATCTTATCCTCTTGACAAAAATGTGGACAACATTGTGATACAAAATTGCTCTGATTATGTAATTTATCTTATATTATGATATATTAATACAGATACTACTGTGATATAGAGCTCATTTGCATCTTTGAATGATGAATAATTTTTTGAGAGACTGAAATTTCTTAGTTTTTAAAAGAATATTTACAGCTAAGAATCTTCTAAAAGAATTATAGGAATTAATATAGTTACATGTATTTCTATTTTTATTTTTAATAGTGAAAAAAGGAAGGTTGAATGGAGCTGCTGGTAAGTTTGACTTCCCATACTCTAAATGTAGATAAGCATCTTTCTTTTTCTTTTAAGAGCAAATATGCATTGTGCTAAAGTAAATCTGTTTAAGCTAGAAATAGTGGTAGGTTCTATTCTATTCAATCTATCCGGGGTAAAAGAAATAAGGACATGCAAGTTTGCTATGCAAAATTTTCTACTATTTACAAGGAGATAAATGAATCACAGCACTTTCCAAATAAGATTAAAGTCCATAATATGACATAACATTTACTAATGTTATTTTCTACCATACTAATGCCTGAAGTGTATATTTGCATGAGAAAAAGCAGCCAGAAGGTCCTGAGACAAATGAAACCATTGTGATGGTGGCGGGGGATATTGGTGGTGCAGGGTTTGCAGCTTCTTCAAAGGTGGGCAGGGACTATGCCTGAATGTGCCCATTGAGGACAATGGAGAAGTATGGATGGGAGCAGAAGCCCCATAGATCTGTAGCTGGCTGGTTCAGATGGCAGCACTAACCCATGACCTTGAGCAAAATCTGACTGCCTGGGATTGTTTTCAGTCAGCCTCCAGGGTCAAGGGCTGGACAATGGCTAGAGAGGCAAGACCAGACTCACGCAGACACAAACATTTCAGTGATCTGTGTAGTCAAATGCAGATTAAAACCTGAGTAAGGACTTAAAGATTTGGCATAACAATAAAATAAAATAAAATGATACATTACCTTTAACTTGGGGCACTCCAGGACATTCTTAGGAAACAGTGTATGCCCTCTTGCATACAAGAATGAATAGTACTTGACAATAGACTAGGACATTGCCACTTGTATCAGTTATTTTGAGCGTACCTCTGGCCTTGTACACCACTTGCATATTTAGTGAATAAGCAGATATTCAGTCTCCAAAGTGTACCTCATTTTTTTGTGGTGCATAAATTAATTCCCTGCTAGGTACCTCTGAAGACAGCTTAATTCCATAACATCTTTGGAATTCAATGAACAACAGCCTGTTGTTAAAACTGAGGTTCTTGAAGTAAACTAATTCTGTGTAATTATTAGTTCTCTAGAAAAGCTCATCTATAAATCGATAAATGTAGTAAAATATGGCAGTCCTGACTAATGCCGCCCTGTGGTAACCCTTGCAAATTGTTTTAAATTACTTGGATTAAAGAAAGGTGAAAGTTGAGGTCATTTGAACTACCATTTTTAAGCCACAGAAGTCTCAGAATATGATTATCATTTAACTCATTGAGAAGCACAGTCATTATTAGTTACATCCGCATTTCTGAAGTGTAGAACATGGTAACATTTCTTTTCGCCATCATAATGCATAATGCTGTCACATAAAATGATTGCACAAGAGCCAGCAAATGTTATGTTTCATCTGTGCTCTAATTTACAATAATGCTTACAATTATAGCACTGCTTGATGTAAATTAAATAAAACATTTAAATTGACCTTTGAATGTTATTTAGCACTAGCTATTATCAAAGTTAACAGTGATACAGACTGAAAGATATATTCAGAGATAAAGGCCCAGAGTTTCCATTCTTGAGGAACTGCAGAAGAGGTGCCTATATGTGGGAGTTAGAGGTGGTCTTAAGCTACCCGTATATTCCCACTATTCCACTCCTGCCAGTCCTCTCCTTCATGTAAGTTAGAGCAGCTGTAAGGTTATTCTGTCTTGTGTTGGTTGGCCATAGCTCCACTGGGCCATTACAATAGTCAGGGATGAGCTAGGCAAAGGGATGACCCAATAGTGCTCCCTTTCCCCCAACTATGGACCCTGAATTGGACAGAAAGGGAGGTGACATAGAAAGTACTATGGCAGATTTGGGCTACCAAAGATTCCAATCTTCAAGTGGCTAGTTAACTGGATTTTACCACTGCTTTTCACCACCAGGGTATACCAGTGAATGTGGCTCAGAATCTGCATTGTTATAATTTAAGGGCTTTGTGTATGTCTCTGTGTGTACATGGAGGCATGTGGTGAAAGACGTATTGCAAATGTCTCTTTCTCTGAAGTTTTCTTAAGTTAGTCCTAAGTTGGTCCAATAAAAGATATTACCTCACTCATCTTGTCTCTCTTTTTCAAAAGTAACTGGTGAGATTTCAGGGAGAGAGAGAGATGGGGGAGAAACACTGTGAGGACATTCAAATACAGAGAAGAGACACTGAGGTCTTAAGCAAAGGAGTCAATTAAGGAGAAGCAGCTGCTTGAACACGGCAGATAACAGAGCTGTAGTAAGAGAAGAAAAAATGATAGTTCAACAAGTCAAGATTTTCTTCAGAGGCACTCAGCTATGTGGGAAAAGGTGCTGGGGAAGCAACAGAAATGTGAGCCAGGTTTGAATACTGGTGAGATAGACTTCAGTGTGAGAGGGGAGTGAAGCCATCAAATGTGGATGAAAGCTTGGAGTTAAAGGTGGATTTAACAGAGATTCTTAAATACATGTTTTTAAAGGTTAATTTGCCTGTCTAATTGCTCTGTTTCTCATCCATTGTGGCTGCATTTGCAAATTGCACTGAATATTTGAAAAGATGTTAGCTTTAATGTTGGATGAAAGGTATTTATGTTTTTGATATTTGTTTTTTGGAGATAGAAGATTAGATTTTTGATGGTGGTGTTCAAAATCACTAGAATTAGGCAACTGATCCAGGAAGCAGCCGCAGTCCCTGGGGGGTGGGGAGGGGAAACAGCACCATGTGCTGCTCTTGCTGCTCCTCCAGGTATCTCCTCCAAAGCTCCCATTGGCTGCGGTTCCCAGTTCCCGGCCAACGAGAGCTGCAAGAGCACGGAGCCCTCTACTCGCCTCCCACCCCCCTGCCCGGGGCTGCAGGGACATACAGTAGTTCAGCTGCTTCAGGGAGCGGCGACACGGGGTAGGCGGGGGGGGGGAGGGTGCACAGGGAACTTGGCGGGCCGCACGAAAGAACCCCACGGCCGCATGTTTAAGACCCCTAGTTTAGAGCCAACTTTGCATCCTACCACAACAGCAGCACCAAATTCTGCTGCGATGCAACTGAGGACTGAGCCAAAAGCATCTTACCATTTATTGGAAGGGACAACTTTGCTTCCACATTTAGATTTACATTGGTGCCTATTTTTGTACGTCTGTGATTTCATTCCATTCATTGCAACGTAGACAGTCATATAATATAACTTAACGTGATTTGGAAATATCTCAAAGTTACATTTACTCTAATATGCATAATGTGGGGCAGATTTTCAGATGTGGCCTCCACTTTTGCACATGCAAACATGCATGTACAACTTATTTACTCATTGATTTCAATGGGAGCTAGGAACCTAAATACCTTTGAGGAGCTGGGCTTTTCTCATGATGTTTTGTAGCTACTGCCACCTAAACAAGGAAGGCTTCTCCTTCTGTAAATAATGCACCACTTTTGTACACACCTAACTATTAGAGAACTAACTACTTCCTATCGAATATGCTCCTGCTAGAAAAACAATTTATGAAAATTTTATAAGGTGGCCACCAGACCTCAATCCATACCTCTAGCTGCTTTAGGAATGTTTTGTTTTAACTTATTTTGCTACACAGAGAGCCATATTTTCAGAATATGCAAAAATAAACAAACAAACAAATACTGTGGCTGCGAGTCTCATTACTTTGATCAACTGACTTGGACTTGAGGGCCCTCACTACAGAGCTAAACATAGCAGCATAAATGTTCGCACTCAGGCTACAGCCTTGGCTCTGAAACCTGGTGAGGGAGGGTGGGTCTCAGAGCCCAGGCTCCAACAAAGTGGGAAAGTCTACACTGCTATTCTTAGCCCCATAGTGTGAACCCCACGAGCCCGAGTCAATGCACCCAGCTCCTAGCACAAAACAATGAAACATGTAGTTAATTTGTTTGTTGTTTCTGTTTCAGACACATTTAACACCTATGTTGTTTTAAAAGTCCAAAATCTAAAAAGCACCACAATAAACAGAAAAGGAAGCGAACCTTGCTGGGAACAAGACTTTATGTTGTAAGTAACAGAGATTTCTTGTCAATTAGTTTGCATTGTGTCATAGCTATGTTTATACAACTGAAAATTGATAATGAACCCTATGACCAAACACAGCCAGGAGCTCCAGGAAAGGGAAAATCTAGCTCAGGGAGAACGTGGGCTAGCCTCCTGGCCTCAGGACCCAGAACAACAGAAGTCAGTGGTGTGGGCTGTTCTGCCAGAATACAGATCAAGGGGAGGAGAAGCCTTTGTGATTCAGTTTCATTAAGCTTATTTTAGCCCCAGTGAATAGGGAGCTCTAGGATGGGAGACAGGATTCAAGTAGACACAACTTGTTATTTTCCATTCCATACTTCTGCTTGCCAGTTAGATATGCCCAACATATAATTTTAACTGATCATTGAGATTATCTTTTAATTGCTGACATATTAGACCCTGTATCTTGTTCCTCATGTCTCTCTCCAAATCCTGCCCACTGCCATCTCCCTTGCTTGAGCCATCTTCTCCTCTTTCCACCCCACCTCTCCGCCATCTCATCACCCCTGTTTTACTCATGAGCTTCATTGGCTCCCCACAGCTAGATGGGCACAGGCACATATTCTGCCTCACCTCAGCTCATTCTTACAGATGCTGTTCTCAACTGGGATTTTCAAAAGAGCCTAAGGAAGTTAGCTATCTGGCTCCCATTGAATTCCTGTGTGGTTTGGGTGCTTAACGCCCTTAGGTTCCTCATCTCCACTTTTTCCTCTGCATCCTTGCTTCTGATGACATCTGGTCATATCCTCATATGCACCATCACATCTTGCTGCCTTCTCCTCTCATCACAGCAATATCAGTTTTACTCCTAGCAACTAGGATTAGTGGAAAATTTTCAGTGTTAATTTTTCAGATAGAAAATTCACGCAAAGAAATTTTTGGGAAAAGTATTTGCTTTCCTCAAAAAATGATTGATTTTTTTTTTAAATCTAAAAACCTTTAACCAAAATTTCTTTTTTTTTGCCAAAATGTTTTGGGCTCAGTTACCAAAAGAAAAAAAAAAGTCTTCAGGTTCTCAGTTTTTTGACAAAAAGTTGGTATTCTCAGTGGAAACTCCCACCCCAATCATTTTCCAGCCAGTTCTACTAACAACCTTATCCCCTTTCTGTCTTTTCCTGCTAAGTCTCAAAGAAATAAACTCCATGATCTCTTTATTTTATGCTCCCTTAAGCTCCCTGGAGAAAGAAGTGGTTCGGGACTATTTAGAAAAACTGGACATGCACAAGTCCATGGGGCCGGATGCGC